GAACCCGTGGAAAAAGCTCACAACACTCAGGTGGCGGGTGCATTTTTTCTCCAGGACCTCCAGCGGATTGCTGTGGGAAAGGGGGCACTTGGTTCAATTGATTTTAAAGGGACGCCCCTTCGAAGAGAAAAAAGAAAATAGCGCTGGAGGTCTTGGTTCTTCAAGGAATCAACAAGTGGCCAAAGTGGATCCTCTGGCAATGATGCTTCCAAAATGGGAATGGACTCGAGCCAGGACAAAAGGCCATACGTAGAGTTCAGAATGAATGAATGAATGAATGAATGAATGAATGAATGAATTAATGAATGAAATGGAAATGAAATGACATGAAATGAAATGAAATGACATGAAATGACATGAATGAATGGAATGAATGGAATGAATGGAATGAATGGAATGGATGGAATGGATGGAATGGATGGATGGATGGATGAATGAATGACTGACTGACTGAATGACTGAATGACTGAATGCCTGAATGACTGAATGACTGAATACTGAATGACTGAATGACTGACTGACTGACTGACTGACTGAATGAATGAATGAATGAATGAATGCATGCATGAATGCATGAATGCATGAATGCATGAATGCATGAATGCATGAATGCATGAATGCATAAATGCGTGAATGCATGAATGCATAAATGCATGAATGCATGAATGCATGAATGCATGAATGCATGAATGCATGAATGCATGAATGCATGAATGCATGAATGCATGAATGCATGAATGCATGAATGCATGAATGCATGCAGGCATGCAGGCATGCATGCATGCGTGGACGAACGAACGACCGAATGAATGAATAAATGAAATGGATGGATGCATGAATGCATGAATGCATGAATGCATGAACGAATGAGTCATCAACTGTCAATATTATTGACAGTCTACTGTAGGCTTGGGGAGCAAGAGCAGGTTCAGCCAGGGGTTGAGACCTTCTCATTTTCTCATGTCCTCTTGGGGAACAACAAATGTTGCCTTCTGGGTCAGTCAAAATGAAGATGTCCGTGTGTCTGGGTTCGCCGCTGCGACGTAGGGAGAAAAGCGCAAGAAGTGCTGGCACTCCTTGTGGCCAAGCCGAAACGTCAGCCACTGGAGAAAAGATTTCATGTTCAACAGAAGCCACTAACGTTCAAAGGTACTGTGGATGGACAAAATCCATTTCGCACCACTTTGAAGCCATGGTTGAAACCATAACGTTTGTTACGGTATATGCAGGGGAATCATTCTTCCCGGGTTTCTTAGGTGGTGCGAAATGGATTTTGTCCATCCACAGTATGTCTCAAGGATATCCTGAATTGTGCCGATGTCCTATGTCAACAGGTGCGTGTTCAGAAAGGATTGCGTGGGCTTGCCGAGACCCCTCACAAGGTCGGTCAACATCCCTTTCTGCGAATGCCACTAGTGCTGCTCCAGCCAAAGACCTACCCTCCTACCTGGTTTGGAGCACAGAAATCCTTTCCAATAGGGAAGTAGACTTAAGTGGCTGCACGTGCACCAACTCACGTTTCTTGGTTGGACAACTCCTTACTCCTGGGGCTTGTGGACAACTCTGTCCGCGTCTCCGTGCTTGCGAAAGGAGGGGCGGGGCAAGGTGAGCGGTTAGCATACAATGTGCTCACCCCCCACTCCTGCTGGGAGATATTCTCGAGCATCTGCGTGGAGAAGCCTTGCGTTGTGCGGTGTGATTCGCCAAGCATCTACCAATGCAACTGCAGCTAGCAAAGCTCAAGATCTAGCGATCCAGTCACGGGCTGATATCTAGAAAGAACGGAGGGGTCTCAGAGTTGGTGGGGATGAACCAAACCTGGTGGTTGACACAAAAACGTTCCAAACTGTCTCATGAGTTTCTTCAGGAACCCTGAGGGGAGAACCCAGGTTCACCCAAAGATAAAGGGCGACGCCCAGCTTTTTGTGCTTTGTGTCTTTGTTGCTGTTGACCTCGCTGCAAAAAAAACACTTTTTGGGGGGTTTGTGGAAAACACCTTTTATTTCCCAAAAGGTTAAAGTCTAAAGACCAAACCCAATAGCAGTCAAGAAGAGCAACGCCCAGCTGCTTTGTGTGTGGCGTCGATATCCTATGCGTGACCCCAGCCACGGCGCTATCAGGCCGCAGTCGACGTGGAATTCCCATGACGTAGTGCCGGATCCTAAGGCAGTGGGTAGGCGGAAAACGAGAGATGGTCGAAATCCATGTCGCACCACTTTGAAGCCATGGTTGAAACAATTTGTTTGTTACGGTATTTACAGGGGAATCGACTCATTCTAGGACTTCTCAGGCGGTGCAAAATGGATTTCGTCCACCCACAGTACTGATGGACGAAATCCGCCCTACGGAGTAAACCCCAGTCGAACTTGGAACCAGCTCCAAGATTTCGTCAGACATTCCGAGTGCCAAGCTTCTCCGTGCCCGCCCTTTCAGAACCACCTCGGGACCAAAGCAGCTGCCTGACTCCTCAAGATGATTTTTGGCCTGTCTCGCGATTCGCCAGACCCTCTTTCCAATGGAAGTGGACTGAAAAATGCTGTCGCACTTGTTGCCATGGCTTTTGAAGCGTCGAACACTTTGACAACTTGATAACATGTTGGCATTCCACATGGTCCCAATTGCTGTTCAGAGCAAATCTTGGTAAATACCATTGGTTTCAGGGGATTCACGTAGGGCGTCAATGCAGAAATGGTCTGCTACTTCCATTGAAAAGAGGGTAGGTCGAAGGTGCGTATCATGCAAGCGGCTTGCTCCAAGAAGCACCCGCTGAGCACATCCCATCGGAATCGCAATATGCCACCCTTTGGCGCATGGTCGTGTCTCAACCATGCCTGAAACTAATTGCGCATACATGTCTTTTGGCTCCTAAATATGTTGGTCGAAGCGGCGAGATATTCATGTTCAGCTCCTGCAGCTCATAGGGTACGTGGATGGAGGGCCCTTGGCGCGCACCATGGGACGAAGAAACTCATGAACCCCAAACAAAATTGCGCACTTCACCAAGAGGACATGGGAACATTGGCGGGCTGCTTTTCTGGGAACTTTGTCTGGGCACCCCTTCGAATGCTCCCCAAACTAACAACAAACTAGCTTGTCAGTTGCGAGTTAGCCTTGGGGAATGGCTTGGGGGCTCAAATGGGGCTTGATGCAGCGCAAAGTCTCTGAGGCCTAGCGCGGATCTGTTTAGCTTGGTGCGCTTGCGCGCTCGCAGGAGATATCTTGAAAATAACCACGCCCTTGCGCGGTTTCCATGGGCTGAATCAGCCTAGGTCAAGTTTGCTCGTTCAAAGTTCAAGGCATAAATTGGTCTCTGTGGTTGGCCTTTTCAGTCTGTACTAAAACTTACCCTTTCTGAAGGCTTCATTTAACATGATTTTCATTCGATCTGAATAATACAAACACCAAAAACCATCCATCCTTCGACAATGGCCAAATCCTCAACAAATGCTTTGGATACTGATAAAGCCTCGCCTTCCACCATTCTCAGCAAAGGCACATTGAGCTGGGAAGCGAAAGTGATGAGAGTGTGGTTTGCTCGCTCCCGTGTTATGCCAATGGTATTCTGGGATATTATCAGTTTGATCTCGGCCCTGTGAGATATCTAAATGACCTGCAGCCGCGTGCTGGACAATAATGATAGCCTGTGCGCGCCCTAGGTCCATCTTTGAGCTGGCCAGCCTTCTTATCACTGAACCCTCGCCGCAACTGACACCCAGGTCACAAGGATATTCCGGAACAACAAAAAAATGGCGCTTTGTGGCCTGCATTTCCACATCTCCTGACAGGCCGCTCGCCTTAGGCTCAGAAGCCAGCTTCCACACGTTTACTGATGCAGTGGAGACAGTGATCCTTGAGATGTTTGCCACAGAACCTGTGGATTGATCCTGCGTCGATCTTGATAGGCGCACAATCACGCAAACAGGCTAGTGGCAGCATGATTATAGTTGTTTTGTTCGCCTAAACCATGTGCCACTGCCACTTTGTATCCCATGACTTTCTGCAAGAAAACCGCCAACAAACACCTGATGAGTTTGCTGCCTTCCAAAAGCCTGGTGTCCGCCTCAGCTGCTTTGCACCCAAACAAAAGCCGCCAACTCCGAGCCAGCGACTCCGGACGATGGCGCGAGCGCCAGCGCTTGCGCCAGGGCGCGTTGCCAAAGGCTACCCCAGGGCAAACACCGATAAAAGCGCCGCCCTTTCACGTCGTGGCCCCACAAGGTCACCGACTCCGGCAAAAAGCCTGCGGGCTGGCTCGGCAGGGGTGAGTTAATATGCCTTTGTTTCAAGGGTATGTTTGGTTGGTGGCTTTAAAGCAAACCCAAGAGGAACCCACCATTTTGCGGTGTCCCCTTAAAAAAGTTGACACCCTTGAAGACCAGGGCGTCCACCGAAATTTCGCAAAGCTCCTTATCTTAGCCTGCGAGTCCAGGGCCTGAGGGGGAGACATCAAGTGTTCAGCTTCAGTCGGATGCTTCTGGACCGCTTCCATTGAAACACATGCGTCTTTTTCTGGGGACCCCAAAACGGGTGTCCTGTTGGTTTCCCTTTCAACCACAGAGAAAGGGGTGTCCTCAAACAGACCCACATGCATTCTCGGGCAAAGCCAAACTTCTAGCGCGTGTCACAACTGGACACACATATTCTTGCCTTGTCATGGCATCCGCGAGTTCCACGACAGGCATCCAACTTCAAATTGTGCACATCTCAATGGCGGTGCATGTTGGGTCCACAGAAACAACCACTGGGCCCAGTCACTTGGCCATGGGTCAAATACCAATGATGATTTCCCTGTAAATACCAACAAACAATGGTTTCCCATAGTTTCAAAGTGGTTCAGGATTTCGTCCATCCGCAGTAGTGCTTCTCTCCATGAATCCGATTGGCTCTAGATGTGGTTTTGCCGAGGCGCCAGATTTCAAGACTTGCAGACCGTAGGTGTTATGTTGCGTGGTGTCCCAGGCATCGATCTTCAGATTCAAGGGGTAGTGGTCCTGCACTTG